AAGCTCTTATCACAGAGGACAGCATGAGCTCTTGTCAAAATAGCATAGTGTGCACAAGACGATGTGGTTAGTTACTGTGCATGTGTAGCAGAGGTAGAAACAAAAGGGAAGAAGTGTTGAGAATAGTGCAAACACTCTAACAGATGGCCTAGAGACTGCAGTACGGTAAAGTATGCTGCTTGACCTCAGGCTGCCTCGCACCTTTATTAGTCTGGCATCAGGCCAAGCAGATGTAGAGGACAGCTACAGTAGAACATCCTCCTCCAGAGAGAGCTAGACATAAAGCACATGTGTAGCTCGGTAATCAGCGCAGCTTATAAAAACAGCCAGCTGTAGTGCAGCTCTGTGAAGAAGTAGCCAACAGCTTAGCAAAGTGGTGGCTACATAGCATGTGAGTCCACACAAATATAGAGCTACAAATAATGATTTGTTTTTATTATTGATTAATCGGCCTGTTATTTTATTGATTAATCAAGGAAAAAAACTGGCTAGCACAGTCTCATAAAGCTCAAAATGATATCGTCAAATTGTTCTTCTGACCACTACCCCAAAAGAATTTCAGTTTATTTTCACACAAGATGAGGAAAAGCAACCAATTGTCACCACTGATCCACTAGACACAGTGTTTTAGAACGTAAACAATAAATCTTATCAAAAACACTTCTAGAAGTGGATGCATCTGAAAATGCCAGTTTTGTAATGCAGGCAAGGAAAGAGAGAGCTTGTCAGGTGACCTCTGAGATCTGATTTACTGACTAGGGCCATTTCTTGCTGAGTAAATGACAAATCTGACAGGGTGAGAACACCTTTAAAACCTGGAAAAAAATCAAACAGCGGAAACGCAGTGAGCTGTGACTATACAAAGCAATACTGTACATGGACATTAGGAAAACTTACCATGCATTTCTTTTGGAGCCAGTCAAATGGTGACACAGAATCCTCAACCTTCCACTACCAGATTTTTCCACAAAATTTTCTCCAGAACGTTGCAGGCACTTGAGTATATCAGATGAGTGAGTAACCAGCCTCTCTCTTTTTGCACATAATCAGCAGGGGCGGATCTAGAACATTTTGGACAGGGTGGCCAAGCTGGGGCACAGACTCAGAGAGAGGTGGTACAT